TATAAAAAAATTTACATAATAATTTTTTAATGTTATACAGATAACTTTAAAACTTTCAATGCAGGTTTCTTATTGAACTTGGGTGAAAAAAGCAAACAATTTTTAAAAAGTTTGTTTGATAATATTGTACCATGTTTCTTTAACATATTAAAGTTATAAATATCAGATATCATCATAAAAGTATTAAACAATGACTTTCTGCACATTTGCTTTTCTCAATTTCTAAAATAATGAAACAAAAAAATACCAACTGCATACAGCAATCAAAAGGTATATTCGATCCACCGCGGTCTATAGTTTTTGTATAGTCTCCATATAACTGAAAATAAAATGCAGTTTCATTAAACAAATCATTTTCACTAACATCATCTTTTCCTGTAGCATAACCTGCAATATTAAACAAAGCCAATTTTTTACTCAATGACAAAGATGATTCTAGTTTAGGTAATTGATTATTGATGTCACAAGATTCTTCACTTATAAAATGGCCACAATTTTGACAAGAATGCTCGATATCAATAGCATAATCTGTAACATCAACTTTTAATTGCAATAACAGTTTAGCTTTTCCAATGTTTAACTTTTCAACAACATTTTGAACTGTTATAAAGTATGTTCCACCTGAACCTTGCCTAAACTTACTGAATGCTTTTTCAATGTATTCTGTTGAAATCTCTCCTAACAAAACATAATCAAAATTGTTTTTCAGCAAATATTTACACACTCAGCAACTCCATAACATGTATGCCAAACTGAAGTACCTGTATCTTTAGTTAAAGATTTTATTCTATGACCTTGCTCATCACTCATTTTAAATGCCATATCTCCAAAATCAAGTAAGTACGCCAAATTTATGTCTAATTTTTCAGAAATAACTCTCTTACGAGAATCTAAAAATTGCATATCACGATAAATTTCTTTTATAAGCATCTGTTAGCATCATATTATATACTAATATAGTGTAATAATAATTACTACTAATAATAATTATTAATCATGTTAAACAATTGATTTTAATAAAACAAGACTGAAATGCAGCTTACAAAGAATAAAAATGCAATTGCTAATTATTTTTTTTGTCTAAAATTTAAAATATATTTATACATTTATTTTTACACGGTAAAACTCATTTTTATTTAATGGATTAAATATAGTATAATAATATAGCATAAAACGCATCCTAGAGTAAATATCTCTAAAAAGGGCATCAGTTTGCTTACTATTCAACAAATCATTTTAATATATTTTTTCTTTACTTTTTGGGCAAAAAGTTTTTAGCCATATAATTTTATTTTACTTATTATTATTAGTTCACTTCTTTTGCAAGACAAAAAAAAAACAGAACAAGTGTATATATCTTTTTAATCTAACAGGCGTTTGGTTGTAATTTATAGCATATAGAGCATAACAACTTTTATGCTCTATATGCTATAAAATAAACTTTATAGCATATTTATTTTATTATTTTATAGCATATATAAAAAAAAAAAAATACTTTTCATCTCTTGTATAATAGTTTTTAAACTATTGATTGGAAATAAGACTTCCTTTATTTAATTAAACATGGCTTTTGTCCAACACTTATTAAACTTTCTAGGTGCAAGTAATTTATTTTTGATTGAACGTGTGTAAACTGCACCATTTTGCACTACTTTAGTCATTGGACATGTTACACACTTTTGTTCAAGTAGCAACCAGGTCAAAAAGAAAGAAAATGATGTCGGCTGTTCGCATTATTAATGTATATATATATATATATATATAATATATATATATATATATATATATATATATATATATATATATATATATATATATATATATATATATATATATATATATATATATATATATATATATATATATTATTTATTATTTTATTTATTTCTTTTTTGTAAGCAACCATTTACTATTAAAGGTATTTTCCGATAAAATATTTAAAAATATTAAATACATGTACATTTCATTATTTATAATATTTACGAGACCGGAGAAGTTGAAGAAGATAAAATTTTATCATCAGTAACCTTTAGTAATAAAAATTGTAAATAAATGTGTGTTGTTAGAAAAAGTCATGTAAAGAATCTTGATTGGCAATAAGTTCGATTATGTTCTTTTTAAATTTATAAGAGGTATTGGCTTCTAATAGTTTACCATTCAGGCTTGCAAAATGATTCCATAGCATTGGACCACGATAGGAAATGGCAAAGCTCGTAAGTTTTGATGTACGGAAAGGTTTTTTAAGTCTTCCGGTTGATCGCGTGTTGTATCGGTTTAACGTTTTATGAAAAATATTTTGGAAAACCTTCGGCCTATTTTTTGACTGATGTTAAAACATAAATTGTGTAATTTTGAAAATATTTAGTTCCTAAATATCAAGAACCCTGGGGCTTTTTAGAGGAGGTTAAGCATTTGTGAAGCAATTTTGAAAATAAATAATAAAAGGAGACAGTCGAGTTTAGATTTATTTGTGCTACCCCAAACAAAATTCCCATAAGATAAATAACTATTTATGAATGTAAAATATAGTTGAGTTAGTGTAGATTTGTCTAAGATTTGTCTGGTTTTATATAAGGTGCCAATACTTCTTTAGATTTTATTGCTAATACGTTTAATATGATCTCTCCAGGATAAGTTTTCGTCAAGTAAATTATTTGTGAATGAGCGATGTTATTCATATATAGCATTGTTAAGAATTTTGAAATAGATTGAAACTTTCGTTTAGAATGGAATAAGGAAAACTTAGTTTTATCAGTGTTTAAAAGTAGGCTGTTAGCGATAAGCTAGTTTGATATTTGTTCTAGTTCATTATTTGCTACTTGAAATAAAGAGATAATATTACTGTGAGAATAGAATAAAGTAGTGTCGTCTGCAATCATAATAGTAGACATAGTATTTGATGCTTTACGGAACTAAGATAGAGCCTTGTGGAACCCCACATGCTATTTTAAGTTTGTTTGTCTAAAAGCCATCCTTTAGAGAAATAAACTGCTTTTGATTTGGACGTCTTTTGAACGTTCAAAAGACGTCTTTTTTTGGTCCGGTGCCCACGGGTATATATATATATATATATATATATATATATATATATATATATATATATATATATATATATATATATATATATATATATATATATATATATATATATATATATATATATATATATATATATATATATATATATATATATATATATATATATATTCACACACACAGAGTGCATGTGTTAAAAACATTACTTTTCAAGTAGTAAATTGCTATATAACACCTAATTTTAGTTATTAGAAAAAAAAATCGACACTTTACTATTCAAATTAGTAAAAATACAATTCTTTACCGAAATTAAATTTATGCAACAACCTATAAGTATTCAACTATAAAGAAAAGAAAAGAAAAGAAAATGATTTTTTTTTCTTAAATCGTACAGTTAAAAGTTCTAAAAATTTATTTCAAAAAAATAAATAAGTCACTCTTCTATCTCAAAATAGCTTTTGTATTAATACCAATATATGTAAAAAAAAAAGTTCATAATACTCGATAGAACACCAAAAAAAGCAAATAAATGGTTGCCCTCTATAGTTTACTTTGTAGCTATACTAAACAATCTAAAGTTTACTCTGTAACTTGAAATTTTCTACCAAAATCTGGATGCGTTTTTCTAATGTCTAAACAACCATGAACTACTTTAATAAGATTTGATGAAATGAATTTACTAAAAATAATTTAAAATTAAATAAAATAGTTTGTTTTAATTTTATAAAAATTTATTGACTTAATTTAAAGTGGAACACTGCAGTGGACTGTAACCTTTTAGATAAAGCAATGGACCACTCCAGTGGACTGTTACCTTTTAGATAAACCGAAACAATACGGGTAAATTACCAAAGTGTATTATTTAATTAGAGCATACCAATAGAAAGTTATATGTATACAATCTGGAGTACTAATTGTGGAATCACCGCCGGATAAGATTTTAAGTAACTATTGTTCATAAAAAACATATTACGATTTTCTCAAATAAAATATATTTTGTGTAAAATCACCTAAACATTTTGTATTATGTATGTATTTATAGCCTAGAAAAAGATGTTTGCAGAATCTCTTACTCTAATGGTAAACGTGAATAGGGGAGAGTAGGGAGATTAAATAATTAGAAATTTCAGGCTATCCAAATTCTTTCACGTCCCCTTCTCCCCACTCTTCATTACACTCAAGCTATGAAAATGAATTCTTTATACTTAAGTAAATTCACTGGTAAACATTATTTTAAAAAAAAAAAATTTAAAGTATTTATTTTTTGTTGTAGTAGTTATATAGAAAAACTTTATCTTTATTGTACAGACATTTTTTTTTTATTTTTTTGCTTTTTTATGTTTGTAGATTATTCATTATTAAAAAGCGAAACAAAGTTGAAAAAAAAAATGAAACTTATGAATAAAAAGAAAATTATGAAAAAATAATGAAGTTATATTTTCTAAAAATAAGTTTTAATATCACCACTTTGCTTGAATGAATTTGTTATATGAATTTGAGCATAAATTTATTTCATTATTTGTATTTATTTTAATATTTTTCTTTTTTTTAAACTTGAGAAAGAACTTTTTGTATTGTATCACGTTTAAATTAAATTTCAAAACATACGCAACAGCCATCATTTAAAAAAAATTTCCCGCTGCAAATGATAAATAATAAAAGTTTTAGGTTTGATAGAAAAAAGCAGAACAAAAACTAATTAATGTAGCAAGCTAATGAGAAAAATTTCACAGAAACAATTATAAAAAATTAAAGACAATCAGTATTAAGCATGTATGTTTCCTGTCAGACTTTTTAAGGTACAAGAAAACAAACTTAAAGCCAAGAATATTCCGTAATACAACTATTTAAAGTAACAACAAAAAAAACCACAATACAATTTTATAACTTTTTTATAATAAACTTAACACCGCATATTGACATCATTGTTTACGCAGTTATATTACTTTTTTAATGCTTATAAGTCGGCTTTTTGTTTGCACTTGGAACTGACAGATTGATACTTATCTTGATTTTTTAAAATTTTATTTTTTACTGGTAAAAGGTAAAATATTATAACAAGTATTAAAATTTCTTTTTATTATCTATTCATCCGCTAATAAAGTTAATAATAAAACGGCAATAAGGTATAATAAATAAATAGTAACAATAGTAAAAAGAACAAGAAAACAATTTAAAAAGCATAAATCATAGTTTACAGAATTTACATAAATCATAGTTTACAGAATGTACAGAAGCCGAACAAAAATTATTATTTTTATTTGTTAATTTGTAATTTTTTTTTAATATCTTTTTTTTTTGCTTTCATCTTTTATTATGTCTTTTGGGTTTTTTACATAAACTTGTACAAAATTTAAGTTTTAAAAATTAATTTTTATGATGTAGAATTAACTTATAAAAATTCGTAAAACTTTCTTTAAAACGAATAAGAATTAATAAGCGTCTTACGACTCTTAAAAACAAGCTTTTACTCTGGAATTTTGTTTTTCTGAAACATTCTTGTAGCACCAGGTTAAAGAAAAAATAGTTTTAGACTCTAATAATGAATATTTGGCTTTAATTACCTTAGAGGGTTTTGTCTGCTTTTGCAGAATACTGTTTTTATTTTTTCGTGTTTTTTTTTTTAGAAAACCATGCCTGAATTTTCTAACTCAATATGTGGCTGCTGTGGAGATATAAGCATTTGTTTAACAACATTTTTTTTACCCTGCTTGACAGCAGGTAAGAACGCTGAGTTTGTTGGAGGAAATTGTCTTTTGTATGGTTGCCTTTCACTGACGTGCGTTAATTTTATTACTGATGGAATGACTAGAGGAAAAATTCGTGAAAAGTATGGTATTAATGTGAGTATTGTTTATAACTTTATAACTTAGGTGAATCAAAATATGTTGAGTTTTTAACCACGTGACATTAATGCTTTTGGGCAATGTAAGTGTTTTTAAATAATCTAAAACATATATTCCGAATATTTTACTCTACTGATTTTCCGGATTTTTAAAATATGACCTGGATGATCTATGCCATACAATTCGACAACTTTTTTTAAAAACACATTAATTACAAATATAGTTAACCTAAATTACAAATTTAGGTCGAATGAAGACAAATTAAAATTATAAATTTTTTTTCTAATCCTAATAAAAAAGTTGGTTTTGGTCCCATAAAGGGGCTAAACTGTTTACACAATTATTTATAGGGTGACTGTTAAACTTTGAAACTTGCATAGCTGTTTTATAACAATGTAAGTTACAACCTGTGCCACTTTCATGTTCAAACTATTAAAACTTGCAAAAATATAGTCATTTTCATAAGAATTGGTGATTTTCACAGTTTTACTCGCCAATTCAAAATTTCATAAGTAAAATAAGCGAGACTCTTCAACCAGAGTCATTTAGTAGCTATATTTGTAGCAAACATTTGTTAAAAATTTCAAGAAATATCATTAAGTGTTAGTAAAGATATTATGTAAACGGTATAACCAAAACAACGAAAAATATGTTAAAAAAAAAAAAAAATTAAAACTTTCATCTTTTTAATTGTGTAGAAACACCTACTTATTACAAAAACCATGACTTGAGCATTAGCTCTAAACAGTTTGTTGTTGTTTTGTTATTGCTTTTTTTATCTATAAAAAAATATATTTTATCAGAGTTTAGTTTATAGAAACAAAAGTAACCATAAAGGAAATCTTTATGGTTACTTTTGTTTCAACAAAAAAAAACAAGTTACCACAATGAAAGGCTATTTCATTCTTCTCTAATGACTAAACTAAAAGTGTGCTTAATAGTAAAATATAAAAGTTTATGTCAAATATACAAGTATATGTAATTATAAAACATATATTTACACAATTTCGTAATACAATTTTTCCATTAACAAGTAATACAAACTAACGCGTGTTAAAAGCAATATAAACGAAAAAATTCGTTTTATAGTAAATATATGCGCTATTTAAATGTTTATCCCAGTTTTTTCTAGAGGTCAATTTTACGGATGTTTAAGGATTATTTTTTTTTTTTTAAGGAGCCACTCAATACCGTCAAACGGGGTGACTGATAGGTTTTTGAGCATTTTTTCAAATAAATTCTTTCGTATAAATTTTTTTTTGAATTTTATTTTTTTGATATAACATTATACCTTTCCTTTATGGAATTCCATTAAATATAATTTTTTTTTTGGTTTTAATATTTATTTTTTTAAGTCAAAAATGTTATCAATCTCAATCCTTCGTTGGGGGTGACTTTGATAGTTTATTATTATTTAAAAGCTTATTAATTAAGCCATCTTCACAAGTGCCATTATTACTTTTTTTTTTAATTTTACTAAATTACAACGCAATATGCATATATTTTTAAGATTTTTCTGGTAAGATTATAAATTTTAGTGGACAAAATTATAAACTTTACTGGTAAAATTATAAATTTAGACTGATTATCGAATATATTCCAATATTGGTTATCGAGTATTCAATATTACACTGGTTATCGAATAACGTTAGACTGGTTATAGAAACTTTAATAACAAATGGTTATCGAATAACGTTAATAACTGGTTATCGAATAACGTTAATAACGAATAACGTTATACTGATTATCGAATATATATCGAAAATTGGTTATCGAATATATTCAGAATGGACAAAAAAAAACAAAAAACAATATAGTGTTAATATGCGAAACATAACAATATAATATATCAATAGCATCATTAGAGTAATTCCAATAGGCAGTTAAATTATTATTAAAAAGTTATTAAAAAGTTAAAAATATTACTAACAAAAAAAAAGTACTAATTGTATATAAATATTAAATACTAATGTACTTTACTTGTTTAACTCTATTTAATATAAAAAAAAAAACCAAAACAAAAAAAACCTGAAAATCGCAATTTCTGAAGATTTTACAACAAATGGTATTAAAACTGGACTAGGTATTAGTTGTTCTCAGTGCCGGATCAAGGAAGGGGGGGGGGGGCTGGGAAACTATAGCCCCGGACCCCCCAAAATTTTAGAGGATTTTTTTTTTTTTTTTCAAAGTCACTTTTAGGCTCTGGTCCATATAAAGGCCTCCAAAAACAAAAATAGCCCCGGGCCCCGAGAACTCTTAATCCGCCACTGGTTGTTTTGTGTAATACCTCTAAATTGCTGCAGGGTACCAATAAGTAAAATAAATGTTTGAAAGACAGAGTGTTAATTTTCTTAAATGAAATGTTCTGAGTTCAATCATTTAGTGAATATTTTTGACATCTTCAGATAGCGTATCTAATTCACTTAACAAATTTCATCAATATTTCTTACATTTCCAAACTCTAGCTTATAACTATTATTTGTTATTTTAGTTTTTTTTTCTGTTTTAATGTGTGTATATAATCAATGTCATTTATTGTGATCAATTTTCCTGGTGCAATTGTTTTCCCTCTTTTTCTATTGGTTTATCCTGTTGCATCATTGCCACAGTACTTTGTGAAAATATCTATTACACTCTCATTTAATATTTCTTTTATGGTCTCACCGCCATTGTCTTTGTTGACATCTGAAAGCCGTTATAATACTTTTTCTCGATTCAATGGATATATGCCTCGAATCCTGGTTTTAAGTTGTCTGCTTTCAGAGTATTTAGCAGTTTTGCCAAGAGCGCTGGGAAATGGCTTTTTGGAATTGAACCCTTGATTTGTGATTCTCTTCTTTTAAAAATTTTAAACAAGAATCTTCTTCCACTCAACTTTCAAGGATCTGAAAACAGCAATATCAAGTTGTTGTAGCAGATGTGTGGCGTTTGGGATTAAACATGTAAACCGAATATTATTTTCCAAGCATGCTCCATGTTTATAAAATCCTCTTCCACTCAACTTTCAAGGATCTGAAAACAGCAATATCAAGTTGTTGTAGCAGATGTGTGGCATTTGGGATTAAACATGTAAACCGGATATTATTTTCCAAGCATGCTTTGATGGTGTCAGATAAGAAATGTGAAGTTAAACTATTCCCAATAACAACTTTAGTTCCTGTAAGAGATGCTGTTCCAGGAATAAAAATTTCCCTGAACCAACGTTCAAATGTTCAAGAGTCAAACCAACCAGATTTTGAACTGTCAAATATAGTTCCAGGTAGGCCACCATTTATCCACTCTATATAGCAGTTTGCAGCTTTATAAACAACCATGGGAGAAAAAAAATGACCAGCTGCACTCCCACAGTAGAATGCTGCATTTTTCTTTCTACGCGTTTAAGGTCACGTTTACAAACTACTGTTTTAAAGCCTGGATTATCTCTCACATTTGTATCATCATAGTTGAATATATTGGTATTAGAAATGTCTTAAAGTGTAATGAATAACTCATCAAAATATGAACAAACTTAACTTCGATCAATTTCAGCTCTTGCTGGTTTTAAATTTATTTTTAAAATTGAAATCAGTAGCACCCATTTTGTCTAGATAGTCTTTTACTAGCAGACGTATATCCAACTTAATCATTGGTAACTTCCAATCTGTCAGGATGCTAATAATTTGAAGAATTTTTTCTTCGGTATGAGGCTGTAATCTGGTCTGCCCTCAAAGTTATTCATATGTTTTAGTTTACTCTTGCTGTACAGAGAACCATATGGTATACTATATAACTAGAATGCCTTAAAAATTGATATTCTGTTAGTTGAGATATCTAACAAGGCATTTTACATTACTTCTGCTAGATACAATGCATAGGAACAACTACCTGGTTTACGTTTATAAGTTCTCATGATTTTTTCTGCAATTTTTCTTGTGATATTTTATGTCTTAATGTCTTTTTCAACTAGAAATAATTGTTTGAAACAATAAATAATCACAATAAGAATAAAATATCAAATATAGAAAACTATTTGAAAAAGTGAAAAACAAAATTGGTTTGAATTTTCTGCAAACGTCATTGGGAATAATCAAAAGTAAGTGGTATATTACAGTGGTATTATAACTGGAATATACCAATTAAACATCTAATTATAGATTTTTAGAAAAAAAAAAATTCCAAAAAATTACAATCATATGTTTTTTAGCATTTTTTTGGTACATGTTAAAATCGTTATTTTGTTGTTTAAGTCATGTTAATCCCAATACATTTGCACAAGTTACAATCACTTCACAATCATTAAAATTTCAAAAATATACTCAGAATTTAATACTGTACCAGCAAAAAAAAAAAAAATTCTAATTATGCAAGTAATCTTCAATTCTAATTATGCAATTAATCTTCAATTAATACTTTTGTAACTAACAGGCAAAATTATCAATGTCTCCCCACGTATCAAAGTTTTACGGTACTTTTTAAGGACTACCTCCCCCCGCTTTTGTGAAACGCATCTCTAAACAATTTATTTAAAAAGTACCCGAACTAAAATTGGTGAAAAATGTAACAAATAAAAAGTTTCAAAATTTTCAGCTTTAACTTTTACTAGTTAATGCCAGTGCCGGATTAATGGGGGCTATAGGGGGTTATAGCCCCAAGCCTTGCAAATTTAGGGCCCTCTAAAAATTTTAGAGGACAGTTTTTTTTTTGATTTTTTTTTTATTTAGTCATTTTTAGACTCTGGCCGATAAAAAGGCTTACAAAAATAAAAATAGCCCCGGGCCCCAAGAAATCTTAATCCGCCACTGGTATATATCTCATAACTTGATCAAATTAATGTGCTAAACTCTTTTCAAAGTTTAAAATCTTGGCATATAGATTTTTTTTTATTTCAAAAACGAATTGTATAAAATGATGTTATATATTTAAGCAGCGATTAAATGTAAATAATTTATACATATATCATTACTCGAGTACATCCTTTTTTAAAAATTCGTCATTAGAATGCTAAGTAAATATATTACTAAATACAGGTTTAGCAACAAAAATAAATTAACAAAACAATATTCAGAATAAATATATAAATAAATTTTAATGCCAATGAATAAGTTCTTCAAAAATCGACAAAAAATAGTTAAAAGTAAAGTAGAACAAAAAATGCTTTTGTATAAAGAGCAAAATTATTTGATTATTTTTTATAACGAATTTACGGCATTTCACTTTACTTTCATAACGAATTTACGGCATTTCACTGTAAAATTAACAAGCAATATTGCATAAGTAAAAGGGCTATTTATATTTAATTTTCTACAAATAATATATATCAGATATAATTTGTATTTATTTAACAGAATAATGATAAGATGTTCATTATTTACAAAATGCTTTAAAACTACTTTAGTCAAGTAATTCTTAAAGGGATCCCAAACTCCCGACACATGTTGTGTTCATATTAAAGATAATGTTAAAAAAAAAGGTTTGAACCAAATTTTTTTGATTAAAAATAAATAATGAATGCATACCGTGAAAAACAAATGTTGTTGTTTTTGCCGAAGCTCGTCTTCTCCATTTTTTTGAACTAATCGGAGTCTTTAAATTATGTGTCGCAATCTACAGACTTTGGCAATTCCTTTGAAGCGCGTTTAATTCATAAAAGTTTTAGTATTTGACGTCACGGTAGACTTTTAACAAAAGAAAAGTGTAATTAAACTAAGCTGCGTTTTTCTACTGTAGTATTTTTTTAACATACAGCAAAACAAATTTATTTGTATTATTTTTCCAAACATCGCAAAAAAAATTTTGTAAAAAGTAAAAACAATAAATTATTTTTATTTTATAGGAGCTACTTATTTTTTACAGATACTTTTTACAGATACAGATTTTTACAGATCTTAATAATTTTTAGATTTATATATCTTACTTATATTTCTTTAATTATTTTAATTAAAACAAATATTAAAGCTTTACTTACCAATCTCATGATTTTCATACGAGTATTTTACTTTATATAGAACGTTTTATATACGGTCTCTTGTTTTTGCGCAAGAGAGCGCAGTATTATATATTCTGATTCTTAATTATTTTTATTTAAACAAAGGGAACTATTTTCTAACTTCTCTGGTTATTTTTACGCTATGACAATTTTTTGTTTTCCCGTCGAAAAAAAGTATTTATTAACAATTACTTTCATAAACTGACAGTATTAATTAGAGATATTTAATGAATTGTTAACTTTTTTTATTATAAAATTTTTTTGATCACGCTGATTTAATTTAAATTGCTAAATTTGCTGAATTGGATACGGATAAAAAGGAAAAAAAAAATATGCCATTTTATTTTACATTTGATTTTTGATAATGAAATTTTTAAAGTGTCAGCAACTCTATACCAATTAGAACCTGTTAAGATTATGAAAAAAAAGTGCAAGAATACACTAAACAATACAGTTGACAGTAGTATCAGATATGAAAATTCGTGAAAGGATTTGTGAGATCCTGATTTTGCATTAAAAGTACAATTAATTGCAACACAAGTCGGCATTAGAAATTTTGATTATAAGTTTACTGTTCAATATTTTATAACCATCAAATAAAAAACATAAAGTTTGTATATTTTCGCCCGTTTTATACAACTAATATTTAACAAAAATACGGACAAATTATTATTAAATAACGCAATAATTAACACATTAATTAAAGGCAATAATTCAAGATAGATGGTAATTTAAATTGTTAAAATGTCATAACGCGAATTAAAAAACATATTATATTAGGTATTTCCAAATTTGTGTCGTAATTGGCATTTGTCTCTTAACATAAAAAATTAAAAAATTTTAAAAACACAATTAACAAATACAAATTTTCAAGCAATTTTCTCTTCCAATTCTCACTTATTCAAAGAAAATTTACTATTAAACTTTTATTTCTCTCATCTAAAAAAAGAATGAGTGAAGCAAAAAAAATATATATTCTTTACAACTCTTACTCATTCAAAGTTTAATTGCGCGAAACTTTTCTTTCTCTTTTGTTCTACTCTTTTATAAAAAGAGCGCCTGATGAAATAAAAACTTTTCTTTTTTAACATATAATTATAGTTTGAGATAAAATTAAATTAGAAATAAATCAACAATGAGCAAAGCAACGAACAGGTTAATCTGGAACTATTTTGATATTTATGAAAATAATCAACATAAACAACATTGCCAACAACAATTATCAAATAAACAACACAATCTCGCATAATTTTAGGGCATTTTATTATTATTGCTTAGTCGTTCTAAATAATAAGTAAATTTAGTTCAAGTTAATAATTCAATATTTACAGTTGCAATAGAATAAAGAAATGGTGTTTAATACTGAACTTTTTATTTAGTTATTTATTTTTTTACCTACATTTGTTATAAAAAACTTTAGAACCCCCGTCATTAAAATAATTTGTTTTAAATATATATTGATTTACGTGATTATTCAAACTAATTTTTTTCGTTTGACTTTCCGAACTTCATGCAAAGCAAATTGAAGCGAAATATCGTCTAACCAAATAAAAAAGCTGTTACTAATTTTATACGGGTAATTAATGTAAAACAATTTTTGAGATAATAAATATTCATAATTTATAAACATTAAATATATGGCGCAATAACAATTCATAGCAACGAACCAGCATAAAAGGTTTTTAATATCTTTTTAAATATTAAAAGTAGAAAAAAAAAAAAACTAAACAAATAATCAAAAAAACTTCGACTAAAAATAAATAAAAATATTTCTAGAGTTTAATTTATTAAAAGTCTACCGTGACGTCAAATACTAAAACTTTTATGAATTAAACGCGCTTCAAAGGAATTGCCAAAGTCTGTAGATTGCGACGCATAATTTGAAGACTCCGATTAGTTCAAAAAAATGGAGAAGACGAGCTTCGGCAAAAACAACAACATTTGTTTTTCACGGTATGCATTCATTATTTATTTTTATTCAAAAAAATTTGGCTCAAACCTTTTTTTTTAACATTATCTTTAATATGAACACAACATGTGTTGGGAGTTTGGGATCCCTTTAATACTGATATTTTAACAAATTAGGTTTTGTTAAGTGTTGACCTTAAGAGATGCTATTTTAGTCTATACTACCCCGTTTTTGTACCTTTTTACTGACTTATTTTTTTGTCAAAATAGAAATTCACTTGCGTTTTTTATGCATACCTAAATAATTGAAATTTAACCATAAAATTTATTTATTTGTCAGTCTAAAAACCTTTCTTAAGATCAGACTCTGAAACAAAAACCTTAATTAACAAGTGTAAGGCCATTAGATCATTGCATAGAAATACCAGATTGAAAGTATTCTTTTTATAGAACTAGCGGTGTAATCTTTTCATCTCTAAAGCTTTAGGAGAAATAGTACTTTTAAAACTTAAAATGTTTATTTTAAAATTCTTTGTAATTATATGATGCTAAACAGAAAAAAATATTTTTATGATGCTTTTTAGCTAAGTTTAAAAAATTAAATAAACTTTTACTATTAATCATTATAATTGTTTTTTATTTTATATATAATTTTTTTATATTTTTTTTAAGTTTTGATTAAAAAGAAAATTTAAACATAAATAAAAATCAATTTATAAACCTTTGAAGAAATCATACAAACATCAAAATAATAAAATGCCACATTAGTTATCTAATAACGCTGTATTATTAGCAAACTCTGGCCATGAGTTTGTTCATACATCACTGTTTTCAAAATAGAATAAGTTAAAATAGAAACAGTTATTATTTTAACATTCAAAAAAAATTGAAAAATAAACTGCATTTAAAAATCTTAAAAAAATATAGTAAAACTGAGAAAAATGCATAATTTATTTTGTAACCATTTGATAGATTTAAAACACAATTAGGTAGTGTTACGTTTATTGGATTTGCCCTATATTTAACTGCCCATGAGTGTAAAGTATTAACATTTGACCTGTTTCAGTTATGTAGTATGTATAACATTTTGTGACTAAGCTTCCTATTGGATTTTAGTCCTAAAAAGACGACTTAAAAGACTTCTTTTTTGAACTATTTGCCGGCTCGGTTGGGGCAACAGAAGTTTTTCGTTAGTTGTATTTTACTTATATTTTAAGCAATTTTTCAATTTTTTTGTTATATTTATTTGCTTTTAGCAATTTATAGGTTAAAAATATTTGTTTTTAAATTGTTTGATTAATAGATGTTTATTTAACACAGGGTTCTTTCATCTGTGATCTTATTTATCATTGCTTTTGTCCTTGTTGTGCTTTAATCCAAGAAGCACAGGTACGATTATTTTTTTATTGGATTTATATTGCAATACTGTTTAAAACCTAAAGTAAAGTTTACTCTTTATTTTTACTTTTTTTTATTACTTATAACATTTCCTTTATCTGTGTTTTTTATAGCTAAATGCGTCATTTATGGCAGTGTTTTTGTAAGTTTTATTTTTATTTGTTTAAAGGAAATTAAAGCACATGGTGCACCAGGGCTCTTAACCATGGCAAGAGAATAAACGATTTAAATGAAGATTAAACGCAATATAACATGAACCTAATAATTTATACTCTAGTTATAAAATGTTTTCTTAGTAAAACTGCCACCTAATCATGTAAAAAAATTTAACGATAGTTTTATAACATTTTATTTGAAAACTGACGTTTACTAATTTTTTTAACTGTATTTCTTGTAACAAACTTAATTCTTATTTATACAATTTTAATAGAATAAAAAGTCATAAAGCTATAAAAAGTTGTTTACTTAAATTTTACCTAAACCGAAAATAAGACAGATAAGGTAAAAGTTATTAGAACAAAGTATTCATATTCTAAAGAACATGCATGTCCTTTAGAACGTTTAATATTTAACGTGTCCATTATAAGTTATGTAATACCGCACGATGATATATTGATAAAAATTGTATTTAAACAAAATATTAAGTAAAACTTTAGGAGCGTTTTGGTGAGAGAAACAGTGCTCGCGAATATTTTGTCAACATTGTTATTTGTGCTTATAAATTTATGACCTCGTCTGTAACTTTTGTTTAAGTTAAAATAGAACTTAGACTTATCACAAAAGCTACCAAACTATTCGGAATTTTGCGAATACTATATATAACTACATACATAGCCAAATAACTACATACGTAGCTAAATAACTACAAATACTATAAAAGCACTATAAATGTAAAAACTTATTGAAACCCCTTAAAAGTTAAAGATAATAAAAAACAATAAAAAAAAAAACATAAGCTAGAGTACTTAATAAAAACAGTATTAGCTAGAGTAGTTAACCGTAAGGTTTTTTTAAAATTTCGGGGAAAAAAAATTATTTTGAAAGAATATTTGTAAAAAGAAAATACCTTTTTTTGTATCAAAATAAATACACATTTTAAATTGCTGATGTTCATTCAGTACTTATTTCAAATATAACAAGTACTCATAGCAAGTACTTAGTACTCATTCCAATATGTTGTATTTAGAAAATTGGATTTCAAAAATATTCAAAAGTATTTTGTTAAGAACGAAATTAGCGCATTTAGGTGTAGCATTTGTAAAACGAGCGCTTTCGCTACACGAAGTTTAAGACTTTAGACAAATACTGTACGTTCTATTATTCTATTGTACATACTATTGTACAATCTGGGAAACCTGCTTCAGTTATTGAAACATGTATAAAATGCTCTTTACAATGGTAACAGGTGCATAAATTTTTCATGATAGGAAAGGAGACTTTTACCAATGGCAATGATAACATGGAAATGATACAATACCAACAACTCGGTTTTATATTTTATAACTGATTAACCCATTTTACTTATCTTCGCATCTAGTTTAAAATAGTGAAGTATACCAATGAATAATTTTATATATTTTTATTAAAATTTTATTTTCTTATATATTTACTTGTTTCATTATTAATAAAGAGTTGGTTTTTTTCAAACAAACAAACTTAAACATAAATTTCTCCTCAAATTTAACATTTGATGTAGTTTAAATCTAACAGGTCGAACACCTTTATAAAGAAAACTTTCTTGAAAATAATCAAAACAAAACTGATACAATTTGAAACAAGTATTCTAATTTTTTTTTAAACAAGAAATCTTGATTTTCCTACTTTTTCCTCATTTATTCCATAAAAATTACGCAAAAGTGGGTAACCCTACCTGCTGTGCACATCCCTGTTGATTCAACGTTGATTGAGTGTTTCCGAGCAGTGTCGATTCACCGTTGACTGAGTGAAGAGTTTTGTTAACATTTGCAACGGTGTTTTACAGTTGCTCAATCAACGATGAATCACTGATGCTTTGTAATTGTTAACTTAACGTTGATTGAATGCTTTTAAGAAGTGTTGATCAGCCGTTAACTGACTGCGGAGTTTCGTTAACATTTGCAACGGTGCATTAAGGATTTTTTACCGTCGATATTATTTAATTAGTACTATTTTGTTAAATATCTTTAGCATTAATTCCAATGAATAAGAACTAAATTTTATTTGTAATTTATCTTAAAAGAACACCCTAATAATGATGCCTAATAGATCCTTGATGGTTTTCAAAATTAGAAACAGAAAAAATATTAAATTAACAAGCAAAATATTTTCTGCATTTTCAAATTTTTTTTCAATCAAAACGATGTTATTTTATTGATATTTTGTCATTTGACGTTTAAACAATGTGCCATGCATACGTTGCCACTTTCCTATTGCGGTTGTTATATCGCTATCTTTTGCTGATTCGTCTTGTAATTTGATGGCATCTTAAAAAAAAAAAGAGAATAGAAACAAACAATGATACAGCGTATTAAATAACATAATACTAAACAAGGTGTCTGCCAATATTTTAAGATGGGTTTGCGTGACTTTTCCGTTTCTCTACCTGTTCTCCCTTTAAAGCTACAAAAGCTCAACTTATAATTATTTTAGAAAAATGCTTTTAATTGCATATATATATATATATATATATATATATATATATATATATATAATATATATATATATATATATATATATATATATATATATATATATATATATATATATATATATATATATATATATATATATATATATATATATATATATATATATATATTATAACCTACATTCAAAGTATTATTAGAACTCCATGAAAAAAATACAACTGACAGTTCATGAGAGTTTGCCACAGAGCCGAATTTCCTTGATTTCTACTTGATTTTTCAAAATTTCTCAACACAATTTCCCTGATTATTCCCTGATATTATTGCAGAAATCTGAATTCCCTGACTTTTCCCTGATCTGGCAGAAAGCTTGTTTTAATGGGCCGGATTAATGAAAAATGTGCTCCATGTTTATTAGAAGACCTACAGCATTAGTGGTGGATTACCTGTTATGCAAACTAGACAGTTATTTAAATCCCGTATAGCATATAGACCTTAAATATTAGCGTAAATAAAATTTTTAAAATAATTTCAATAGTGTTAATATTATTATAAATTTATTTTTGTAAACAAAAAAAAATTACAATTTCTTTTTTAATTTACTTATTGAAAGAAGGTCTTCTATTAACAATATCACATCTAACAATATAAAATTTATTCGTACATATTTTTTTGTAGTATGAATTAGGCTCTATATGACTTAATCCGCCTTAATCCGACTTAAATCCAGCACATTCGATGACAACTAATAGAGCACTTTTTAGAATTTAAGGGTCAAAATAACAAGGTAAAACTTGCAAATACTTAAAGATGTACTTACTAATTATAGCAGAAAATAATATTGGGCACTTTTCACAAAATGAGATTTTCTGAGAACTGCCTTTTATATTAAAGTGGCTAGAATCCTCGTCACTCATCACTTTTTTCATAACATAGTATGTGATATCTATTGTAGATTTTCCACCCACATTACATAATGATTCTACCTGCAAAAAAAGAAAAAGGACTTAACTATAAAAATGATACAAAATGTAAGGAGAAAAAATTAATTTAAGTGGAAAACTAAAAACAATAATGTATAATTTCTCACTGCAGAATCCTTTATTTTACTATCAGCTGAAAGAAAAACTTCTAGATCCAAGATTTCATCAAATTGTAGTTTTGATAGTTGTAACGGTTCGACTAAAATTTTTAAATCATTCTGCTTAAATGAGGCTTTAAAGTCATTGAAGTTTTTTTCTAGACGTGCTATTGCTGCTAACATTGTTCGTTTAAAAGCTTTACAGAAATTAAGATAAATATAATTCCAACTATGTTAATTTACACAAGCTACAACATAATAAAATTACAAAAATAAAATTGCAAGGTTTTATCAGAAAGAAATATTAATTCAACTTTTTTTCACTCTGATCAGAAATATAGTCTTTATTTGTTTCCCCAGCACTTTTACCAATTTCTTTATTAATTATTTTTTCACAAGTTAACTAAAAAAATAATCACAATAATAACCAACAAAAATATTTTTTAAAAGAATTCAATTACACAGGCAACTCAATATTATGAAATTCAACATTACTGACCCCTTCACTGGAACTAATTGTTGCTGAGTTATTGAATGAGTATACACAAAAAGAACCATCATCTATAATTTATCATTAATCCATTGTTAGTCCATCAGTATGAGAAAAAAAACCAGAAAAAAACCAAACCTTTATGGAACTATTGTTACTGTCTAATTTTGGAAATGGTGTACTGGAAAAACTGACTTCATCGTCACTTGTTTCTATAACTCAATTTCTTTGTTTTCGATTTTCTTGCATTAGCTAATCTTTTTTCTATAAATGTAAAAAAAAGCTAAGTTTAAATTGTTTTTACTTATTTTTTGTTGAATATTTTGATTATTTAAATAATACCAGGACTAGTTGTGGTTATCTTTACTAATACTAATAACATTCAATAAAATCTAATTCAAACCAAAACATTTTCACGCAAAAAAAAACACTCACCTGATTGCTTTTGATAGGCAAATGAATCTATTTGGTTATATTTCCTTTTCCCCAATTGCGAATTGTAGTCAGATTCAGATTCTGAGCATGTTTTAATTGATTCACAATTTATGTAACTGTCTAAAAATGTACTAACATACATAAATGAAATTTATTTAAATTACTATTTTGATAAATAATGAATTAAATATATAAATATTATAAATACCTGCACTCCCGAAATGTAGAACTAAAACAAAAAACAACCAATTAATGCCAGGATTTTGGCAACGCTTTATGTACGGCTCTACATCTTTAGCATTGCAAGGCCAACGAATAAACTCTTGCCCTTCTTCTTCTTCAATCCAGTTTGTTGGCACCGTCCCATATTGGATTTTACTAGATCCATTTGCATGTGGTTCTATCCATTTTACTTTGGAAAACGCCATAATTAACTAAAAATTACCAAAATTGCAATATATTTACAAAAAAAACTTTATTTATGTAATAAATATTTAAAACCAATCATCAACACATATAAAATATAGACACACACACAAAGAAATATATATTTATATATATTTATGTAAAAATCTGTGTATATTTATATATATGTATATATGTATATATATATATATATATATATATATATATATATATATATATATATATATATATATATATATAGATACATATATATATATATATATATATATATATATATATATATATATATATATATATATATATATATATATATATATATATATATATATATATATATATATATATATATATATATATATATATATATATACATATATATATATATATATATATATATATATATATACATATATTGCCTACGCCTAATATAAATATATATATAAGAGTATTAATATGTGAATATTGATATTATTGGTTTTTTATATGTTTCTTATCATTTAAAAAGTTTATCAACTTCAAAAAAAATTAAGTAATTAAATCAATCAAACAGTTGAAGTCAATGAAAAAATTAAAATCAATCAAACAGTAAAAATGAATGAAATAATTAAATTAATGAAACATTTAAAATATATTAAAAAATTAAAATCAATTAAATAGTTAAAATCAAATAAATAACTAAACAACGAAAATCAAACAATTAAACCATCGACTAGTCATTAACCTCAATGAAACCAATAAAATTAAAGCAAAATTCATAGACATAAATTTAAACAGGAAATTTTTATACACATTTATCTAGTGTCACAATGAACTAGAGTCATAAAAACAAAACCCCTTTTGAAAATGGCATCATGGTTGCTTTAGAAATAAGTTCTTCTTTTTTAAAAACAGATTCAGTATAATTATCAATCGTAGATATAAAAAATATGTTGTATGTGGAAGACAAGTCTGGTTCATTAAAATAATTAGAGAAGTATTTTAATTTAATTAACCTTCCAAGGTACATATCTTCACTAAGCTTTTTGGTTATAATCGTGAACCCAGATTTTGCAATTAAAAAAAACACTTTTTTTTTTTCCTGTACCAATTTTAGTTGTTTTTTCTTGAGTTGTTACATTTTCATTGAGTTGTAATTTTTCCTCGAATCTTTTGACAGCCTGAGATATAGCATATCTTCCTGAGTGCACTACTTTTTTTAAACATCCTAAGTAATTTTCAAATGGATAAGCAGATAGCTCATTTAAAGTCTTATTATGATTTAAAACATCATCAGCTATATGTATTAGAGAATGGATATTATAAGATGAAAAAGTCTCTCCATAGAGTAAAAAAGCCTCATTAGTAAACCAATAAAATAACTTTTTATAAAATATAACCTAACGTTTTTGTTTACTGAAAATATCAGAAAGAAGTATACGTGTAGCAATTGACAAAGCCAGAAACAAATTGTATTCTTTTCCAGAGATCTTACCTTTTTTTACAACTAATCCAGAATACAGAAGAAAGAAACGAAACTCTACAGCCTTAAAATATAATAAGTCATCTAGTTTTCTTGCAGTACGTTGAAATTCTGAAGGGGTACTTTCTGCAATATAAAGCATCTCAGCTGATATTTGGTCAATAATATTTTGGTTTAATCTATGGATTGATGATCTTCTCACCCAGTTGTGTAATAATCTTTTAACAACTCCTAAACATATCAGATGCATATAACCTAATACAAATCTACTTACCATAGGAAGGTTTAAAGAAAGTAAAGGAGAGAGTGGTTTGTGTTAATGTAAATCATAAACACCACATCTAAACTTAGCATCTGTTCTAATTGGTGCTGATGTACCCAATAGCCTTACACCTTGTGTATATATACCATGCTCTTTACATCTTTCACAAGAGTTGTACCCGCTATGACCTTGAATACACTTTAAAAATGCTCATGCTGGAGCGTCACATATAAAAGCGGTTAAAAAGACAGGAAAATAAATATTATTATGTTCATACCCTTTACTTAACAAATGTTTCATTTCTTCAATAAACTCTTGAAAGTAGCAAGAAATATTGTTAGGCTTAATTTCCCTGTACCACAGAGCAACCAAATATGGAGAACTTTGATTAATTTTGATTAAAATTGGCCAAAACAATTTGCATTGACTTGATATACCCTCACTCCATCTATATTAACTGTCAGCTCTAAAACCTTCTTTACACCTTTTGTGCAATTTAAATAATGTAATTAAGCACTAGCTACTGTTAGATATATGAAATCGCCACCAGCTTTTTTAATAACATTCACATCACGTAACCATTTTTTTAATGTTCTATTATCTCTTGGTAAACCTGGTATAACACTATTTAAATGAATTAAAAGCTCATTTAAGGGTGCAGTTTTAATGTTATGGTTTAAGGACCACGTTCGAAGAAAAGATATGGTGGTTACATCTTGATTTTCTATTTCCATATTTTCATTCACATCTGTTTCACTGCTGATTAGTTTTTCACTATCTGAGTAATCAATATCAAAGGGAACGCTGTCATCTTCATCAGATAAAATATAATTACAGGAAAGATTATTTATGCTGTCAGAGTCAGAGGAATAACAATTTATCAAATTTTGCTCAGTACAGACACTATTTTCAACTGATTGTTGATGATTCGTTTCAATTGAAATTTCCTTAATGTTGTTGTCTACTGTAAAATCTAATGAAGTTGAAGCTACTGAAGTTGAAGCTGGTGAAGAAACTTTTTTTTCTTTATAATCTTCTTTTAACAAATCTTTAATCAATCTATTATTTTTGCGCCAGTCTCTCATGTAATGCTTGAAATAACTAATTCGAGTGTTTTTTCTAAACATAATCAGTCGTAAATTTATCAAAATAGAGAAATTAAATAAAGATTTGCTTCAATTTTAATAATTTTATCATGAAATAAAAATTAAACGCTTATCAGAATGTTCAAAAAATTTAACTGATTATATTTACCAAGCATAAGCGTGCTTAGTAACGTTTTATCAGCGTTGAAATCACGACAAAGCAACAGTGTTTTGATAACGGTCGTAAACGGCGATTTTAACACCGTTGGTTGAATGCTATTAATTCGTTGATCACCGTTGATCACCAATCAACTTCATCGCATCAACGTTGAATCAACAGTGATGTGCACAACGGGTGTAATATATCCTTCCCTATAATAACGCTATGAAACAATCAAATCTTAGATATGAAATTTTCACATAACGTTTCTAAAAGCTATGAAAAGGTTATGAACCAGAATCAAGCATTAAAGATGCGTAGAATGTTTAAAAAGTATTTTTTATTAGATTTATAAAACTCTTCAACAAAATAAGACAAGAAAAAAAAGATATTAATCATACTTTGACACTATATTTGTTTTGTAATTTTATTATCATTAAGTCAAACAATAAAAAAAAAACACTATGAACATTTTAAGTTAGCATTGGTTCCAATATAAAAAATATCATGTTTTAAAATTTACATACTTACTGGAAATGATGCTTTAAGAAAAACACAAAAAAAAAAACTAAAGTTTTGGTACATTACAAAAATAAGAATGAGCCAATTAACATCATCAACTAAATAAAAAACACAAAATAAACAACAAACTGTGGTATAAATAAAATATTGTTGCTTAGAAGCTTGAATAAGTAGAAACTTTTTTGTTGTAAAATACGTTGCTATTAGGTTGCTAATGACTTCAAAATCTAATTAGCCTAAAAAATACACATTTTTAAATGCATTGAAAAAAAAAAAGGCAGTTCTATAAAAGAAAAATATCAGCATTTAATAAATTGATTATTTTTTAAAAAAATATTTGAAATTAATGGGGATGAAAATAGCAGTTATTATTTTTATTATTATTACTATTGAAAACTTTTGAATTTTTATGTGGGATATGTTCTACTCTAAAATGACGAAAGATTTCATACTGCATAGCAAACATTTAGCTAGTATTCTGACCACTTGCCACTGCTCCAATAATCGTTCACTGGTGAAAATACCCTTTCAACAGCAGCATTAGTTTTTAGATTTTATTTATGCTTTTGCAAACCAAAACAATTTCTCCCTAGTTAGTATTTTATTATCACAATAAATATAATTTTGAAACAACTTTTAAAGTTGTTTCAAAATTATATAAAGTTTCAAAATTATATAAAGTGTTCTATTTATATTTTATTAAATCAATCCATTTTATTTAAAACTGTGGCAACCTGTTTAGGAAATTAATATAAATCGATTTTGTTTGAGTCTTTTATTTTATTTATCTGCAGGTCCAAATAAAACTTTGAACTTGATTTTTTCGGTCTGGAAAATCACGGAGATAGAACAAAATAATTCTATCGTCGCGAAATGTAAAATTTTGCAGAACGACTTTTTTTTTTAATTTATTTACGAAAATTTTCAAAATTGCTAAACAGCAAAATTTCAAACCAAAAATTAACTTACATAAATTAACATTCAATTTATTTTAAGACACTTTTTTTAAGATCTCTTTTGAGAGCTGGTTTTTTCTGGCTAAAAAAAAATATTTTTTAAAATTAAAAAATGTAAGAAAATAAAATAAAAGAAATAAAACAAGAGTTTTTAGATTTTTTTTATGTTTTTGGAAATCAATACAATTTTATCCTTAGTTAGTATTTTATTATCACAATAAATATAATTTTGAAACATCTTTTAAAGAAATTTGTGTCCTATTAATATTTTATGGAATCAATCTATTTACGTTATAACTGTCAATAGGATTTTGAAAAAATATTACGTACTTGGCATCTTGTTCGCTGAACCAGTTTTTGTACCACATCTCCATAGACATCTTATTCTGTGGTAAATAGGCCTCGGTAGTGATCACCAAGCCTCTTACTTTCCGTAAATATATTCATTTATAGAATAGAAATATATATATACATATATATATATATATTTATATATATATATATATATATATATATATATATATATATATATTTATATTTATATATATATATATATATATATATATATATATATATATATATATATATATATATATATATATATATATATATATATATATATATATATAATTTCAAATAAATTTCTAAATGATATAAAAAAATATTATTATTATTATTATTATTATTATTATTATTATTGTTATTATTATTATTATTATTATTATTATTATTATTATTATTATTATTATTAATACCATTAAAGATATAGTATAGAAACATAAGTTTAAAAAAACAAAAACTTTATTTAAATATTTATTTTCGCGTAATGTGATGAAAGTATCATAAAAATTAAATAAAAAACACTTTAACTTAAATTTTTTATATGTAAAATAAAAAAATATATAATTTTAAAATATAAATATCTTATGATATTTTGATGACCGCTTAAAAAATAACGTCATGATATTTTGGTGACCGCCTTAAAAATATACCTTAAGGATTGTTTTTTAAAAAAATACCTAACAATAATTTGATGACCGTTTAAAAAATACAGCTCTAGAAAAAGGTAAAATGATAAAGTTTAAGCAAACTTTAATGATAGCAATTACAATAATTATTAGCAAATAATAATTAGCTTAAGTAAAATGATAGCGGTTTGATTTTATATCAAACATTTAAAAAAGACGATCCAGTCAAATTATAAAATGCAAAAGAATTCTAATAAGAGAAGAAGAGTAAGGGCTTGCACCAAGGAGCACTTTTTGGTGGGTAAAGCAGCTAAGATGTGTTCCATGAAGCTACCAACTAGGACTGATGTGATTAAGCCATTTCTTTATCTTAAAAAAAAGAATGGGCCAAGTTATCAAAATAAACGTCTTATATGCTATCCTCTGAGCAACAAATTCACGTTCAATTTATAATTTATACTTTAACTGGTTTAAAATTAACAAAATTCCTACAGAAAAACATATATATTTATAAGTAAATAACACTTCAATAGCATTGAGGAAAAAATATAATGTTACATATAGTTTCACAAAAATTATATTTGTTGAAAAAAAATGTCTGATAAGTGAGTTTTTTGTCACATTCTTCATATTTTTTTATTCAGTTTCCAATGTATTTCTTTGGATACTACTTGCAAAAACGAATGTGTACAAGAAGCACTTTGGTTTCCATTGCTAAGATCTGGTTTCCCTATGATTGGACCTGTCACCCTGCAAAGAAATATAACAAAATATATTAACAGATATCTGAAGCTCAAAAAACACTAATATAACAATGTGCGCAATTTTCCGCTGACTTTTTAAAGACTGTAAGAGGTACTTACTTCTTTTTATTCAAAAAGTTATTTATAATCTCCTTTGAAATTTACTCCTCCAATTTAAATTAAATAAACCTCAAAATATTTACTTGAAATGTTAATTTTTTATTTAATATAATTGTTTTCAAGGACTATTTTGGCTCAGTAACACAAAAAAAATTTTTTTTATCAAAGCAATCAAAGCGGACAAAGATAGGCTTCATTCCGACAAGCCTGAAGACTTACTTTTGTTGAAGGATGAAATGGGAGAAATAAAAATGACGCTTGGGCCGTTTGACAAGCGTAGAGCCGAAATAGAACAGAAGAGAAATGGCAAGATTTAGAGTAAAGTTACAGCAACAGGTTTTTGCGAAAAATCGTTTGTTCAGTCTAGAGGTTTTAAAGTGTACTGATGGTGTACATCTATCTAAAACAATTTCTTCAGAACCAAGTTCAGAGTCTGAATCAGAAAATAATTACAGGGATTGTTCAATAAGAATTTTTAAAAATCAAGAACAAACCTATGTTATCAACCGAAAAGTTATTAAAGAAACTATGAGAACAGCTATAGGCATGGATATAACAGCTCATAAAGTTACAGCAACCCTGATAAAGTTTGTCACCGCAGCTGAAGGTAATCCAAATAAGTTGCCCCTTTTTTATACTTCAGCTTTTCAAATGAAAAAAAAGTATTATTAACAAAGATGCTGAAAATATTAAGATTTTGATAAAAAAAAGAGATCAAACAGGGTAAGGCGAAAATTCAGCTACACTTTGACGGAAAGTTAATCAAGGTTTGCATATATTTAATTTTTAACTGGTGTTTTAATTGAAAACAACTGTTATTCTTACATTGTTAATCTAATCCTAGTTCTAGGACTTGATATCAA